AAGATTAAAAGATACATTGAATGATGAATAATTGAAATAATAAATGGATTGAAATGCAAAGGCCCGGCCTCTCTCAGAGGAGCAGTGTCTGTGGACCGTCCTGCTGGAGTCTTTCTCCAAAGCCTCCTCTGACACACTGATCCAGCTCCACACCTTCAGCAGCTCATTGGCTGCAGATCCTCTGCTTCCTGGTTCAGCTTCTGCTTTACTTCTGTGTGCTGCCTGTAGAGAGCCTCCTCCAGCCCTTTACAGCCTGGAGCTGCTGCCCCGGGGGTTTGTGTTAAAGAAGAGTCTTAGCCTGTGTCTGAGGAAGCAAGGGATCATTTTATTGAGAGCAAACTTCATCAGGTGACAGCGTCCACCATGCCGACGTGCAGAGCAAGACAACACCTGCTACCTCTCAGAAAGCTGAGAATAACAGGAGACCATCACCAAGAGAGCTGAGCATGTGACCAGAGCCAAATGTTTCCATCACAGCTGCGTTCTTCCAGGATCCACACGGCGTTTCTCCAGTGGAAGCCTCACTGGTTGTGTTTCTCTGCAGCAGCATTCAGCTCATGTCAGCTGCTGCTAGTTTGCTGCTCATGAAACAAACTGTGAGGATCCTCACTGTTCCAGAGAGGGAACATGTGGAAAGAACCAGTCCTGGGCAGCTCCCTGCCCTCCAGCATCCATTCCCTCTCTCCAAAGCAGAGACATTTCAGCATGGTCCAGAACTTAACTGACCTGTTCAGGGGTCAGGGATAACTGTAAAAAAATACAGCTTTTGTAAAAATCTCAACTGTCCTACCAAAGATGAACCTCTTGGTGAGCTTTACAGTAAGAAACAGATCTGTTCTCCTTACAAACTTTGAGAGTTTAAATCAGTTTTTAAAAGAAAGAGCAACAGGGTTTCCTTGATAATAATCAAAATTGCTTATTTTCTTCAATCAATAGCTGTGACATAGCTCTGCTTCAAACTTCTCTCTAAGATGAAGAGTCTGAGGAAACAATGTCTGCTGCCTTCACAGACGGGGGTCAGGAAGGCCTACTGAGGCAACATGTTGTGTTACTATTGGTTAATTTCCCATTTCTGAACATTCTGGTGAAGCATTCAGCCTCCTCTGAAGTGTTAACACATTGTTCTTGTTAGCAGAGCGTGGCTGGGCAGCAGCAGGAGGGTCCCTCAGCTTCCACTGCACAGACACATGCTCAGTAACTCCAGAGCCTCATTCTGTGACATTCAGATGCAGCTGTGTGATTTAATGTCCTCCTGCTGGATCCCAGCTACCTGCTAAAGGACTGAACAGAATTCTCCTTCTGACAAAAATACACATAAAAAATGGTGTACTTTCTGTTCCAGATTAGGAGGATCAGGGAAATAACAAGACCAAGTTTCCACTGAGTTACTAAAAACTCTGATGTAAGGGTTCTGAGTTCACATGTGAAACAGCAGACTTTCAACCACTTATGCAGGAAAGCCTCTATAAAGGCACACTATGGTGTGTTGCGTGTAAAATCTGAGAGCAAAAAATATCTTTGATGAGTATCAGTCACTACCTTCCCATAATGCAAATGTTCAAACTGGATACACATAAGATTTACTTCATGCTTTAGTTTGTGTTGCACTGGAAGCAGGCTGAATGTCATCAGTTTTGTACTGAATGGCTCTCACTGTTTGTTATAGCTTTGTTCACTATAATGGAGAGAAAGCTCTTTGCTCACAGTATATTTTTGCTTTGTTGTCTCATCTATGCAAATCCATGTTTGGTTTATCTACTTTGTACAGTAATGAAATCAGACTTGCTTCCAGTAAGTACAATGGGCCCATCTGAAGGACCTCATATAGTTTAGCTCATGTAGTTATTTACCCTATAATCTCCACTGGTCCCAAAATAAAAAAATAAAAAAGAGCTGCCCTCTTCCTTCATCAGCAGGAGGAGAAACATCCATGACATCCAAAATCCTTATAGAAAAGTCCCAAAGGGTCACACACATTCAATTTTCAATTTCAATTTTCTTTATATAGCGCCACATCACAACAACAGTTGTCTCACAGCGCTTTCCAAACAGAGCAGGTCAGACCCTACTCTGAAGTTAACTACAGAAACCCAACAATTCCCACCATGAGCAAGCACTAGGCGACACAGGCAAGGAAAAACTTCCTTTTAACAGGCAGAAACCTTGAGCAGAACCATGGCTCAGGGTGGGCGGCCATCTGCCTCGGCCGGTTGGGGGTGAGGGGAAAGAGAGAGAAAGCAAGAGAGAGAGAGCTCTTTTCAGACACATGTCTGAAAAGAGCAGAGAAACAGAACATTTACATCTAAATATGTAAAACCATTCATTAATTTAGTTATTTAGCCATGAAGACCATTCACAGCAAACAATCATAGAATATTTACAGAACACAGAGATTCATCGTCTCATGTTTAGGGTCAACTATACAATATAACGTATATATTTTTATGTATAACAGCAATTGTCTTTTTGGTGGGCATTGAGCAACATTTGGACAGATGCTGCATTAAGATACGGTAAACATTTCCTCGACCTGAGGATACCTGTTATTAGTCTATGATAAAAACTGAGATATCAAAGGAATGCATTCATTGGTGCCCCTCATTAGACCAACCCATTCTTAGCCAGAGTGACCAGTCTCCAAAAATCATCAAACTTTATCCAACCAATATAAAAGAATAACATTTTTAAAATTGAACATGAAAAAAGAACAGGGCTTAATACAGAGGACACAGGCGTGAATTTCTTAGACATTTATAGATAGTCAGTACCGGAGAAGGAAATGTTATTGGACCAGGTATAGTCTCTCAAATTAAGGATCAATACTGTATAACAGTTAAGTCGGAATCATCTATCAACTCTTTCAAAACATGAGAGCTTTACTATGGAGTCTGGTGTTGGGGTTTTGTCTTCCTTTTCAAGGATGCAGTCAAAGTCTCCTCCTATTAGGATATCTCTTCCACAAATCACCATAGTTTGAAGAACCTGAAGTGTTGCGATGTCTTCTTCCACATCCATAGGGAAATATATTTATGCTGGGGCCAATAATTCAATAAAACGCTATAGTTTTGTATGGATTTCATTAGTTTCTTATCTGTGTCATTACTATCAGTATTGCTATATATAAAACTATGTTTGTCATCTAACTAAAGCACTTTCTACAGGTCCCCTGTATGTATTAACAATTATCAGCTAACTCCCCTCTCCCCTGGAGAATGAGGGCATTGATCCTGCTACTTCTTGAACATGAAACAAGCACTCTGACATTTTAACTAGTCTGGTGTGGCCTCAGGCTCAGTTTCTGGATGAGCTCCTGTTTCATTGTCAAATCTTTAGAAATAACTACAAAGCTGATGCAGGTGAATCCATCACTGTTTCTATTAAAGTAGGCGCTTTTTCGCATCCTCCTTGGTGCTCAGGAGTTACCTGTTGACCCATATCTTGGTTGTCCACAGGTCCGAAACACATTGTAACCTTGTGGATCATACCGTGGTATATTTTGAGACTTTTTAGTGGCAGAGCTGCTAATGAAGGAAGAGGGTAGCTGTGGGCACTTTATCTGACTGGGAATTATCAGTGACTACAGAAGTGGAGGAAATCAATTGATCAAATCATATTCAGTTATAAAAGGTAATTTGTATGCATCCAGAGGTGGGAGTGTAGCTCAGTGGTAGAGCATTTGACTGCAGATCAAGAGGTCCCCAGTTCAACTCTGGGTGCCCCCTTCTTTCTGAAATGTACAGAGTGCTGTGATTGTATCAGACAGGGATGTGTCGATGTGTTCCTTTGTGTTTTTTAACCAAACCTTGGGGAATGAGGTACTAAATTAAATGTTCTTCTTCCTCTTTTTGGACACTTTGACCTGCAGCACAGGAATGGTGGCTGACAGCTCTGTAACTGTTCATTAATGCCTGATCCCTGATTGAGCATTCCTCCAAGAAGTAAACAGTTAAACCAAAGGGAGCTTGTGGAAGGGACGGGTGTTCTGAAAAGAACAACAGAATGTGTCAGAACAAGCTAAATCTGCCTCTGGAATGTCTGAACATTCTATGTTCTTTGGTATCTCAAAACTGAGAATGACCAACAGCAATCATTCTAGAAGCCAATCTCTGATATTCAGACACAATTTAGAGAGCAAATGTCTTCATGATTTAAGCAGATTTTTTAACATATGGAACCAATTTTAAAAGTAAAAAAGACAGCAGAGGGGGTTCAGGCTCAGAGAGGGGTACAGAGGGGAGCTCATAGAGGGGCACAGGCACTAACAAACATGAAGACTCCTGAAAACAGTGTTCATATGAAGCCCAGTGAAACTTTAGCCAATGTGGAGGCTCTGAACATGACCATGAAGCAGCCGGACAGTCAGCCCCTCCAAAGCAGGATTAAAGAAATCTCCCCAAAGTTCCTCCAGCCAACCCCCCCAGCTCAGAGTCACAGATGGAGTGCCAGCTCATCCAATGGGACAGAGAGCCACACAAGAAGAGAATACACCAAACGTTCAAAGAAGAACGGGAGCTAAGAAAAGAACGTATTTACAGGAGACTAGATAAGACAGTGATTAGATAAATAAGATAAATGCATTTGCATTATAATAATGGATTCAATAAAAAACTGGGATAGAGACACTGCTTAGAGAGAATCATTTGATACATAATAGAGAAATATAAGATGATGATGATATTGATAGATTATCAACTCTAGATAAAAATGAGAGAAGTCCTCCAGTAATCATGCCCATCATACAGTGAATAATGTTTTTTTGGGGGGGTAATAACTCAGTCCATGAAGCTTTCTGAGCACAGAGCAGCTCTGCTGATGTTCTGGATCTGAAATAAGAGTTCATGTTCACTGTGAGACTCAGTGTGTGAACACTGCCAAAGCAAAGTTTGAAACTTTACATATCTGCATTTAAAACTTTTTGTTTTCTTTATCAGATGGGTAGAAATTCAGCAAGTGTGGAATAGTAAAAGGTTTAGGTTTGAGATTTTTCCACATCGATTTCCAAAGATATTTTGAATTCAGTGGGAAAAAAAAAAGTATTTCCCTGGAGAAATATGTTTAAACTGATGTTTTTTGTCACAGCTGAATTAGTTGTTAAAAGCAAAGAAAACTTGCATTACATTTTCCCATCTGAAACTAATAATAGCAATTTATTACCTGAGGACTTCTTCTTAGTTAAGTTAAATGTTTGGTGAGTTGAAGGTATTTTGGTACCTCGTTATGGAGCAGATCAAGTAGCTAATAAGTGAAGGCTGATACTGGCCACGTGATTCATTTTTCAGGAGGTTTTCTGTTGCTGTGACTGTTTTCTGCTATTTTTCTGTGTTTGGCATAAATTGGTTTATTTTCAACATTGAGTGTAGATTCTATTTTACTATATGTCCAGTAAAATAGACGTGCTCAGTGATGACATTATTTGGGCTGTGTTTTATGTTTCAGTGACTCTTTTGACTCTTTCAGCTTTAGCCGGTAGCCATGCAGTACAGTCTGACTACAGCGACACTCTGTGGCAGTTTGGTGTAACTACAGCAGGA